CTTGTGTACCTATGTGTATACAAACTACGGTGCACGTGCGGGGGCTTTCTTGAAATATTTGTGAAACGCCTTTTGTCAGCTTACATGAATGTTGCGGATCCGGTGGCGTGTTGTAGTAGCTTGTGAATTGAGTTATTTGCTGTTTTGAATAGGTAGACATCTTGCACTACTTGTATAATTTATACATATAGATTATAGTGCACTAACTAATCTCCTACTTTACATTTGTAGATTCTTGTAGATAGCTTGTTGTATGCACGATGCGTTTCCCATTATAACTCGTAAGCACTTGCACTTGATATAGTCACTTTGTATCTTGTTTGTGGATAATAGACCGGGTGTACTATGAGTCTTCTACAGTGGCCCATGGATACTTGCATTTGTTGCAGTCATTTGGTATTTTGTTTATAAATGGCATTTAACGTGTTGTAGGTCTCCTACAATGTATCTTCTACGAGGACCCATAGGCATTTACATTTGTTGCAGTCCTTGTGCGTTTTAATGCTGTCTTTTGGTCCTCGTGGTGCATCCGTTACTGCTACATGTATGCAGGAAGACATATTCGTTCACAGATTGAAATTGACTACAGGATACTACATTTACTGAAGTCTTTCTGTATCTACCCACATGTGCAAGCATTTGTATTCATAGGGAACTTGTATGTATTGCAGATCTTCTATCCTTGATTGCATGCAGATCAGTGTGCTTATTTGTATCTTGATGTTGACTACGAGGATGCTAGAATACCCTTGCTACAAGAGTTTGCGGGTGCTTGTATCTGTTGCATGTCAGTCTTTGCATCAACTAATAATTCTCTTCAATAGGGCTTCTAATCTTTAACATACAAGTTCATTGGTCGATTGATATGAATACTGCAGATTTCATGTTGGCTATACATAAATCAAGGGTCTTGTAGTATATTTATTCTTCTAATTTTAAAGTAGATTGTTGTGTGTTCATTTACCCATTAGTCTGCATTGATAACAAAGAATCTGCTTCTCCTACATCTCCCTTGCTTTGCTTGTGAACATGTCCTTCGCTATTATATTCCTTCATGCTCATTTACTTTGCAAATATGTCGCTTGTGTGAGAATTATGTTGAATATCATAAGCTTCTCGTTGCCCTTGGAAGTAGTTTATAGCTTGCATTTTGATTGGTATAAGAGCTTTCCAATATTTATTTGGGAAGTTCATATTTTTTTATTAGCACCTTGATTGGAATGCCACCACATTTGTCGTACATCTTCTACAAGCATGTCAAATGTGTTCGCGACGGAAGGCTTCGTTTGGGTCAGTATTTAACGACCTCAGAAATCAGCGATCGAGGAAGCGTACGCGGGAATCCTGCGAGGAGACTTGGACGGCGCCGAATCGGCGTGATTTCGGCAAGGTATCGCGGCAGGATTCATGGATCCGTCGGGTGGAAGGTTTGTATGTGGGATTTTCGTTTTGTTTTCTCCTCTCTTTTGATCTTTTGTGTATAACATGAAGGTCAACAGAGCATAAGAGGCACTTGTTATACCTTGCAGTTTAACGGATTGAAAATCATAAGGTACTTTTATGTTCATTATCCACAATTCGTATGCATCTAGAGCTTATCTGCCACATGTATGGTGTTTTGTTCATTGATGCTCATCACACATTAATTTTAGTATTTACAAAGAAACCCAACAAATTTGCTTGTATGTTGCTTATGTTTGAAAATATTCCACCACGAGTTCTATATATGTTCCTTTGCATTTAATTTGGAGCTTACCACTTGTAATCTATACAAGTTAGATCTTTTATGGTTCATTTGAAATTCTTTGGGTCATCATTAAAATCAAGTCCAAACTCAAATTCGTTCAAGATTTGCTCCAAGTTTGAGTTCAAATGGTTCAAATTATGGCTATCTTGAATCAAATGAGATTCAAATTCAAGCTTTATTGTAATTCAAGTTCAAAGTACACAAATAATCTTGTTAAGTTCAAGTGGCAAGTTGAAACTCTATGTCCCCTGTAGTCCAACTCAAGTATTCGCTTGAGTTCAAATTATGTCCAAGTCATGTCCTTGTTCATTTCAATTTGAATATTCAAAAGTCCATTGTGGTTTGAAGTTGATTCAAGTTTGATTTCAATTCAATTTAAGCCTCTTGCACATTTTTTTATTTGGTTTCAACTGCTTATTAAGTCACTTAGATTTTGTTCAAAAGTCCAAGTACAAGTCACCCGTGTTCACCCGAAATTACGGCAACCTCCCGACGTCTCCCCCGTTCAGGGGAAAACTACGAGAAACTGGGCCTTCCCACCACGCGCAATAAAGGCGTGTATGATAGGTGCCCTCAGATGAGGACACCACGGCCGTGATCTTCCTTCCCACCACGCGCAATAAAGGCATGTATGGGGTCTTCGAGGGTACCTGTTAGAAAATGCAGTTTGCTTCCCCCCCCCGCTCGGAGGTACTTATGAGTAACCCCGCCTCGCCGTAGGTGCCGCACCGGGGTCCCATCCCACCACGCGCAATAAAGGCGTGTATGGGCAATTTCCCGGTGCGCAACGAACATTGAAGTAGGGCTTGTAGGTGATTACCCGCCTCGTCGTAGGCGTCGCACTGGGGTCCCATCCCACCACGCGCAATAAAGACGTGTATAGGCGATTTTCTGGTGCGCCGCGAACTTCAAGGGCAAGAATCTAAGCTTTAGATAATTCATACCTTTGCGATGTTTGGTGGCACGTGGATCGAGGTTGGAGGAAAGGCACCATTATTTTTTTAAAAAGGAATATTAATTAAAAAAGATTAATTATAATTAAATTTAATTATAACTAATTATACCTATTATTGTTTAATTACAAATAAAAATATTGATCTCTCTCTCTCTCTCTCTCTCTCTCTCTCTCTCTCTCTGGATCGGAAGGGCTCGGGTAAGGCTAGGGCAGAGGGAGGTTGGGTAGAGGGAGCTCTCAATGGACGGAGGATTTCAGCAAGGTAGGGAAGGAGGAGTTTCAGTGCTATGGTGGTCGGAGTTTGGCAGCTTCAGGAGTGGAGGTAAGAGTTAGGTCGGGAGATCGCCAGCGGGACTGGGCTGACCGACTTCAGAGAAGGGGCGTGGATTTTCGGTTTGAAGTCGAGAGCATCCAGAAACCTCCATTCCTCCACTATTTACGCTTGATCGAGGTGAGATGCAATTTTTGCAGGAGATGATCGATTCGGCACTACTGCATAGTACCTCGGCGGAACTTCGCAGGATTCGCGGGATCCAGAAAAAGCTAAGATATGATTTCATTTTCGTTTCCTTTGGGTATTATACAGAGGTCAACAGAAGATGACAATGAGACAAAATTCATTGATGATATAATTATTACATAGAGGACTCTTCTGAAGAATATGAAACTGAGAATGAGGCTGCCGTGAATCTTAATTCTTGTGCGTACTTAAATTTTAAGAGAATCTTTAACTTGAATCTTATTTCAAACTTTTGTTTTATAATAACATTTCATATTAAGATTTGTTATTTATGTCTTTATGATGATGAATCGATTAAATATGTTGACAGCTTTATTATTTATCATTTTTATGAATTATTTGTAATTTTATGAGTTTTTTTTTTCTATTTTGAGGCCTATGTCATGATCTGCCTTGAGGCTTACGCCTAATCTTGCTAAGGAAAAACGTCTTCTCGATTTCATCTTTTTAAACCTTAGTTGTATTTGAATTTGACTCTTAATAAGACACAATGGAGAAAAATAAATCATGTAGTAGACCACACATAGTGGGATAAAGGCTTGATGTTATTGTTGTTTCTTGTAAACCTTAGTTGTATCTACCCTATTCGGACCTACTCAAACCCTATTTGATTACTATTCAGCCCATGCTATAACTGAATTATTGCATGTTGTCTATTATAATCACTCCAAATTTGTTGGGTTATTTCGAATATTAAACGAACATTATTTGAACATTTTATTCAACTTTTATAAATTCTTCTAACAATATCTTATTCAACCTATATTGAACCTTGATAAAACAATTTCTAATAACAACGATTAATGTTTGATTAGGTCATAGATCATTTTTTTATTGCATATGATCATAATCATATTAGAATTTTGTTCGAACCTTGTCTAAAAGTTTTTCAAACCAAATTGCAGTGAACTTAAAAAAAGTAGTTCTCGTTCCAAAGAAAGGGTATTTTAGTCCAAACAAAACTTTCAAGTATATTTCTCCAAGAAATAAAATTATGGGCATATTTCTCAAATTTCCCTAGACTTGTTTAGTATAATGAGAGTTATGCCATATAGACCTAGCTCATAGGGCATCACCTTATGACACGTATGTACAAATTAAAGTAAAAATCACTTTTTGCTAATCTTTATGTATTGTACAAGACAAACGTTACCAAGAAATTCCATTGCAATTGAGTTCATGTATTTCATCAATCTAAAAAAGTACCACAAAAAAAAGGTATAGGACAATAGTTGAGTCATTAGGTATCACTTTCTTAAGAGCAAGTCAATGTAAATTTGAGGCATGGTGGTCATTGGGACAGGAGAAAATGAAAAACTCAAAGTTAAGTTGTTAAAAACTAAGGAGCTTAATATAGCTTCCAATAAATGTTCGGGCCCAAAATGAAAAAAAAAAAGACTAGCTTGAGATTGGTTTTAAAATATTAATGTAAACAATTCTGTGCTCAGAAGCCAAATTCATTGATCTGAAGTAGAACCAGGACCAGCCAATGAGTTAATAGCCTACTTGATATATAATACAAATGTAAATGCTAAATCAGCTGCAGTTCCAATGGCCTGAGGCGCATGCTTTTCAATTATTATGAAAAAGGTAGCAAACCAATGAATACTTAAGCGTGGAAAGATTTAAGCTAACACACCAAATGCCATTAAAACATGTAGACTTTGGTAAAACCTGCAACCATGTAAGCTGGCAGCATTCAATAATCAGTTAAAACCAATATCACATGTATTGTGCACCCTAAAATAAACAAGGACTTTGGGAACTGCACAAAATACCTCAATTCGGATGCCAAAGGAATGATCTTCGTAATATCCAGGTTCATTACTAACAATCATACCCATCTGCAGAGCAATCATATTTCCATATCGAAAGCTTATACTTTGCGGGCCTTCATGGACATTTAATGCAGCTCCTACCCCATGTCCAGTACCTAAAACATGTAAAGATGAAATCTTAGACAATATATACAAGAGAATGTGCATACCAGAATTACAATGATAGGAGCCGAGCAGATTTTATGGGTGTTCCAAATTACAGCTCGACAAAGTAAAAAATAAAACTACCATGTCGATAGTCAAGCCCAATTTTCCATAGAGAAGATCGGGCAAGCACATCCAACACAAAACCAGGAGTACGTTCAGGGAATATTGCTTGATCCAAAGCTATATGACCCTATATAAAAAAAAGAAGAATGCGGTTACAAAATACTAAAACCATATTTTGGCATGATTTCCAAATAAAAGATGGAATAAAGAGTATTTTACAGTCCCCTCCCTCCACCCACCCACCCCCCACCTTCTCCAAAAGTCTCACTGAAACTATTGTTTTAAGATACGCTGTTATACCCGAATCAAATAATTATATTGCCAGCTCTAAGTCACAAGGTGATCCCTTTGTGTGTCTGAAATGTATATTGTGTGTGTGTGTGTGTGTTTTTTTTTTTGCAACTCTACTATTTGACTTTAGAAATCAACAACAGAGAGGAATTACCAATATCTTTACATAAGATTCGTTAGTTAGAGTTAGGGGATATGGTGAAAAGCTCATTTTTCATTTTTATGATGTCATATTGAGCAAGTGGTAGGCATGAGAATGGAGTTGTTTAAAAAAATATGCTGCCTAAACGAACATTTACAGCATGTCAACCAAATTAGATTTTTCTAGCTGAAAATGGGCATACTGAAAACTTAGGTGATGGAGTGTTTTCATGAGTTCATTGATCTTAATTCCTGCTTAACATTAATATAAAGTATGCAGATTGTTTCTTAAAAGGACCAAAGTGTGGCATTGTTTTGTTAGAAGGTGCTACTTTGTGAAAAGGAGAAGGGCAAAATGATATAAAATGATTGTAAAATGATAGGCCTCAAAACTTGACAAATGAAAAAAATTATATTGATTTATATTAAATTTTCAATGAAAATTGTGAAAGAAATTAAAAATTACCTGTAAAACTCTAGTGAAGCATTCCTTCTGCCTAGCCGTAGGATCACCAAAATGCACCGTTCGTGTAATGTCAGTAGTACCATCAACATATTGACCACCGCTATCTAAAAGGAAGAGATTTTTGTCACCAACAATGCTGCAACTATCAGGATTTGAGCGGTAATGTATAATAGCTCCATTTGCACCATAGCCTAAAATGAGCAGCAATAAGTAAGAAACAATTAGATTCAAGAATTTCTATGAAAAAGCTATGCAGACTATTAGAAAAATCCATGAAAGGCATGCAAAAAAAAAGGATTTAATAAGTGAAAATTGGAGAGGAAAAAAGATTCACCCCAAGTAGTTGAAAATGTTAAATTCAAAAAATTGGAGCGGAAAAATACTTAATTTTATTGCACAAACTTATCCCCATTTAAAAATTTGTACAAGATATCCTAATAAATAAACAAATAATTACAGAATAATTCATAATTGCTCTAATATAATCCTTCCTAAATCAACCATCTAAATATGGAAGGAGATCAACGTGATCCAAGTGAGCCTCCCATGAATTCCCATCTTAGCCGTGGGATCAAAATGCCAAGGGACAGCTAGGATTTAATAAGTGAGCCTCTCACGGATTCTTATCCAGCCATGGGATCAAAATGCTAAGGGACGGCTAGAATTTAATACTCCCCCTCAAGCTGGGTAATACAGATTTGTCATTCCCAACTTGGTAAACAAACCTAGGAAGGTAAAGTTATCGAGTCCCTTGGTAAAAATATATGCAAGCTAGTCTTTTGATGAGACATGGTCGATACATATAAGACCACTATCTAATTTCTCCTTTATGAAATATCTATCCACTTCTATGTGATTGGTCCTATCATGTTGAACCGGATTATGAGCTATGCTGATTGTTGATTTGTTGTCATAGTGTAGCTTCATGAGTCATTCCCACTTGATCCTTAGGTCTTCTAGAATTATCTTGATTCATAGTAGTTCACATAGTTCAAAGGTCATAGCTCTGTATTATGCTTCTGCAATAGATCTTGCCACCACATTCTGTTTCTTGCTTCTCCATGTAACAAGGTTTCACATTGAGGTAAATCGTCTATCTACTAGTGATCCTGCGTAATTTGCATCAATATATGCTTCTGAAGTTATTCCACAACCTCTTCTGAAGAGAATCTCTTTACCTAGGTTCCCCTTAAGATAGTGTAGTATTCTGTCCACAGCTTGCAAGTGAGTCTGGTTTTAATTTTGCATGAACTGGTTGACCTTGCTTACAACAAGTGTTATATCTGGTTTGGTGTGGAAAAGGTAAATCAAATTCCCACAAGCCTCCGATAAGATCTTTTATCTAAATTTGGATCTTCTTTAGCATCCCTCAGTTTGAGATTTGGTTCTACTGATATTGGTGCTAGTTTACAAGCTAGTTTATTTATTTCTTTAAGAATATCATTAATGTATTTTTGTTGTGAAATAAAGATTTCTTTGCTAGAGTGGGGCACTTCAATTCCAAAAAAATATTTTAATCTACAAAGATCTTTGATTTCAAATTCCTTTGCAAGACATTTCTTTAGAATTTCTTTATCCTTTTCATCATTCCCAATCAAGATGATATCATCTACATAAACTACTAAAATTGTGCTTCACCTGAGTCTGGGTGCTTGAAGAATAATATATGGTCTCCTTAGCTTTGTCGATAACCATTAAGAAGCATGACTTCTGAGAATCTTCCAAACCAAGCTCTAAGTGACTGCTTTAGCCCATATAAAATGATGGGGACATCCGATTTCGACACGTGTACCATCGCCGACGGCGCAGATCGACGGCTACGATCCAGATCCTCTACTTTTGAGCTTTACAGCTTATGTCATGTATTATTTTCTTAGTTTTCCTAGTTTGCCCCTGAGGGCATTAATTGACTTATGTAGCCCCGAGGGCGTTTATGTCTTTTCTTTTCTTTCAGTTTGAGCCTCCTTATATGAGGCAATATGCATTGTATATTTTTTTTTAGTTTTGATGAAATGAAATTTGATCATTGTTCTCTTTGTGAGTTCCTCCCTCCAAGATCTCTTAGTGAGTTCGCCGGAGAAGACTAGATCTCTTTGTGAGTTCTAGTTTTCGTGCTAGTCACTCTCGTGGAAATTCAAATTGAATATAGCTGAGGTTAGTAATTTCATGATCGCTCGAATCCCTTGATTTTTCCCTTTCTTCCTCCCCTTGCATAGGCTGCCGCCTAACCTTGACCTGCTCAGGCCGCCGGCCACCTTAGCTGCCTCCTCCCGCCGGCCAGTCCCTCTCCAGGCCTTTGGCCGCCAACCCAAGACCAACCCGTGCAGCTACCCCACCTCCACAGCTCCCCAACTCCACAACTGAGTCCAACCGAGAGCTCCAGCCCACTGAAAGAAATTTTCTTCCTGCAGGCCCTTGCCGCCGATCCTCCCTGCGTTGCCCAGCCCGTGGAATTGTAAAATCTTAATGCCTAATTAATTGCCTAATTAATATTCCATATTATGGCAGGCAATTAATCACATTTGATTGTGTTTGAAATTCAAATTCCTTTTTCTTCTCTTTTAAAATAAATTTTGGGAAGTTACCTAAACTTAAATTAAATCTGAAATAACAAATTTCAGAATTAATTGAGGATTAATTTCTGCAAACGTGGGCCCCACCTCCAATTTCCAAATCCCTCCCTGCTATATGGCCGGCCATCCTTGCCCGTGAACTCCCCTTTCAATTATATTAATTGCTTCCTATTAAAACTCTACTCCCTCATTAACCATTGACACCTCATTTGGAAACTATTTTGATTTTCAAAATTAGTTTTCCCACCCCCCAGGTCTCCTCCCTAAACCGAATTTCAGAAAACCTGAAACTGCCGTGACCTGAGGCGTGTTTCCCCAACCCGAGCTCCCCTTGGCGTTGGCTGGAGCTCTCCCATCCAAGCCCTTCCTCCCACGACAGCAACCCGACACCATTTCATAATTTGGTGACCTCTTGCTTCTCCTCCCAGCATGCTCCATCGGCTCCCGGCAAGAACGCATGGAGGTACCTGAGTGAAATTTCGGGTTTGAGTACGACAACCGCGGAAGGGTCAATATTCTCCGATCACCTTTCTTCGACGTCGGTTTCGACTTTGACGATACCGTCGAGGAATACTTGGAGAGGATTCTACCACCACTAGCGGAGGTCATCGACGACCATTTCTCCGTCTACACGTGGATCATTGAAGGACGACCACCTACTCCTGCGAGTCCGGCTCCCTCCCCGGCGACGAGTCCCCTCAAGATCACTTGTCTACTCGTAGCGTCGCTAAGCCTACTTACGGTCCTTTTCCGCTAAGCCTCCACTTCAAATTGAGTGACGGATCCTAAGGTGAAGGGTTTAAACCTTAAATTTGGGGCTTTGTTATTTTAGCTATTCGCATTACTTGAAATTTTGACGTTATTTTGAAAAGCCTTCTAATCTCTGACTGTGACTTCTTGTTGTTACTTAATCATTCGTCTTTTAATTCTTGAACTTCAATTGATTACGCATAAAGTTTTGGTAGCAAACTTTGATTCAATATTTCTATTAATTTTAAGTGCAATTCACATTTCACCGCATGATTGATTCACATCATAAAACCTTTTTTAACCTACACACTTTGTTAACCCTAGATTGTTCCTTGAATTCTAGTGGAATCTCCATAAATATTTCTTCCTCCAAGTCCACGTGTAGAAATGCATTTTTTACATACAACTGTTCTAGATGTCATTTATAATTAGCTGCTAGTGAGAGCTAGATCCTCATGGTGTTCATCTTGACCATAGGTGCAAAAGTTTTCTGATAGTCAATCCCATATGTTTGAGTGTACCCTTTCGCCACCAGTCTTGCCTTATACCTTTCCAGGGTACCATTAGCTTTGAATTTCATATAGAACACCCATTTGCAGCCGATTGATTTTTTCCCTACTGGTAGATAAATGATCTCCCATATATTGTTCTTTTTTAGAACCTACATTTCATCTTTCATGGCACTTCTCTAATTTTCATTAAATAAGGCTTTAAAAATATTATTAGAAATATGAATATTATTTAGTGTAACCAAAAAATTTATGTGAATATGGAAGGATGCAAAGTTAGTTATGGGGTACAAAGGAGGTTTTTTTGGTGAACTTGTATTTACCTCAATTTCAAGAGATGATTCAGATTCTTGGATCTACTCTGGAGCATGAATTGGATCTATACGCCTTGAATACACTTTTCCAAATCTCGTATTATTAGATAAAAGGGTTTCTTAGGCCAAGTTCCTCATCATGGGGAGCTCTAATTTTATTTGTAAAGAAGAAATATGGGAGTTTCAGAATGTGCATCGATTATAGAAAATTGAATAAGCTTACTGTTAAGAACAAATATCCTTTACCCAGAATTGATGATCTATTTGATCAATTGGAGGGAGCTGCAGTTTTCTCTAAAATTGATTTGCGTTCTGGATATCATCAGCTATGCATTAAGGAGAATGATATAGCTAAAATTGCTTTCAAAATCAGATATGACCATTATGAGTTTGTTATGATGCCATTTGGAGTGACGAATGCTCCAGCTATCTTTATGGACTTGATGAACAAAATTTTCAAACCATCCCTGGACATTTTTGTAATTATGTTCATAGATGATATCTTGATTTATTCAAGAGATGAGGAGAGTCATCCAGTCACTTGCATGTAGTGTTGCAAACACTTAAGGAGAACAAGTTGTATGCTAAATTTTTGAAGTATGAATTTTTGTTGTGCAGTGTAAATTTTTTTGGGCATGTGATTATTGGTAAAAGGCATTTCTGTTTATAAGAATAAAATTCAAGCCATTGCTAAGTAGCCAAGGTCAACAGCAGTTTCAAAAGTGAGGAGTTTTCTAAGTCTTGCTAGTTATTACAACAGGTTTGTAGAAGGATTCTCTCAGATTGCAATGTCGTTATCCAGATTAAATCAAAAGACTGTAAATTTTGAATGGAATAATCAGTGTGAAGGAGTTTTTCAAAAGCTAAAAAATTGTTTAATGACTGCCCCAATATTAACAATTCCATCAGGTTAAAAAAGATTTCAAATTTTTTGTGATGCTTCATTGAGGGAACTTGGATGTGTATTAATGCAACATGGTAGAGTGGTAGCATATACTTCAAGGCAATTGAAAGTTTATGAAAAAAAACTATCCCACGCATGATT